ATATTTAACAGGCTCTGGCAGAACTGAAGCACTGACCCATATAGAGCCGCCTGATAAGAGTGGCATACATTAAACACACTGATCCGACAACTACCACACACACACTCAAACACACACACACACACATACACTCAAACACTATCATTCAAACGTTTGGGATCAGTAAGAAAATAATGTTTTTAAAGACACCTCTTATGCTCATTAAGGCTGCATTTATTGGATCAAAAATACAGTAAAAAAAGATTATTACAATTTAAAATAACAGTTTTCTATTTTAATATACTTTAAAATGTAATGTATTCCTGTCTTCAGTGTTCCTTCACATGATCCTTCAGAAATCATTGCTGATTTATTATAAATGTTGGAATACATATATATATACAACATACAATGGCAGGTTTATTATACAACCATATAGGAAGCATGTATATATCTCTAGCTTGCTTATATAATTATCAGAGCCCATAATAATAATAACAATTATACATTTATTTTTATTCACTTTTAAATGGATCTCATTTTTATTTAATTTTCCGTGGACCCCAGTTCGAAACCCCTGATCTAGTTAACACTGTTATTCAAAACAACACAAATTTATGTCCACAGTCCCATGCAGACTACATCTGTCTTCCCAGAAATTGTGAAAATGAGCCAAAGGAAAAGCCTAAGCAAGTGGACCAAACACACAACTGATGGTTGCTAAATGATTACACGCTAGGCAACATCTGCTTAAAGTAAACACATCCATCAAGTATTAAATAACCTAATATGTGCAGTATGCACGACAGGGGATGATTCCCATTTTAATATTAAGTGTCAGTAGAAGAGAAAAAATTTATCGAGACGACAGACATTTATGCAAACACCTTGGCCGGCCTTTGTTTGTGATATTTTTAGCATGCGATTCAATATACCTTGAGATTACACACACACTCACACTGTCACACACACAGATACTGTACATGGTGCAATGATGTTGTGAGTGGTGCAGATAAATCATGGACGCTTTAATCAAACCACAAAGGTATAAGAGAATAATGAATCATTCAGTGCTCTGTCCCCCCCCCTTTCCCATCTCCCTGTCATAAGCAACATCTCTGCTGTGTTCATGAGTAATACAGTTTTTTACGATTGCTTAAGCACAATTTTGAAAACAGGGCCCGGTTTGTCAAAACACTACACACAATTAACACAAACCTACACCAAAGTAGCACAACACTTCAGATCATTTGCAAAATGGAACACTTTTGTCAAAACTATACACAACTTTATAAAAACAATATTTTGTTACCATACGAAACACACATTTCATATGACTTTAATCTTTTTGAACCAGTTACACACTGCTGTTGCTAACCTAAAACACTTTTAGCAAGTCTAATTCTCAGTGATTAGAGTACTGTAAATGAAGTACACAGAGAAAGTGCAACTATACAATAGTTCACCAAACACTACACAAGACCAATGCTGCAGACTGACGAAAATATCATTGATTTCTCTCCATATACCCAAATCAGTCAACATGGAGAATCACAACAAAACATGTCCCAGTTGTCATGCTACCACAGTAGTGTGCATAACACTGTTAGCGCAGCAAACAACAGACAAACGTAAAATACTGTATCCAGTACAGGTTACAATTACAGTAAATACCAACAACAAACAAAAAATTATCTGAAAAAAACTGACAATATTGTACAGAAAATACTACAGTAAACTGTAAATGTGTCAGATCAATTCAAACATGCTATTACTATTATAATTATTATTGTTTGTATTGCAGATACTGCCGTGTGCCTATTCTATGGAGGCCTGGATGTCACAAATCAACAATTTAACTTTCAACTCACAAACAGAAGTGAATCAAAACATTTCTGCATTCAGAAAAATAATCTAAATTAATCTAAATTTGATTCACTAGTTCACAACTTTGCATGTGAGAAAATAGCCAGTTTAGGCTGGTTTAAGCTGTTTTTTTTCCTTCTGCAGCCGAATATCATCTTTATTCTCAACACTGGTGCAGGAGCAAGACTAAGGCCAGAAAAATCATTAAGGATCCCAGAACTCATACAAAAACTTCTTTTCACTGCATCTTTAGGGTCAAGCATGGTGGTCGTAACACCTCCTGAAGCTTTTCAAAGCCATACAGATCTTTAATGAGAAGCCTGTACAATACTCAACAACAATACATTGACACAAACCATAACAAAAACCCACAGACACCTTCATAAACATACACAAACACTCTGTGGAACAGAGTGGGGACATTCTGTTGTGTCCCCCAAGGACCAGTACGAAACCCACATAACCTTAAGATGATGAACAAATGTAAACTACAAACTAATGGATGTCACTGTCTATTTCCATGTCACGGCACACTTCAATTGTGTTTGATATATTTTGCTGGGTTTCTAGTACAATTAATATCACAGGTGCACAGATAAAAATCACACACTGAGTGTGTGTAGGTTTCTATGTGAGACAAACCACAAAAGCTTACAGCTCAACAGAATGATGGAGAGGTTCAGTAAATAGAAAATGTTATTCTGGATTCTATGGGCCTTTTGCTTGCTCTTTTCACAGTCTGGCTGTGATGAATGATAAGACGCCTGAACCGCACTGAAATGACATTGAGGGTATCATTCTGAATGACCTTAAAAAGGGCAGGATTGATAGATATCACAAACCATATATTTGTGCTACCAGGCCAAAATATCCTGTTACAAGGATATACAGTTATTTATCAAAATACATATGAGGACATTGGCAAAAAGACAAACATTATTAAATAATTACTGAATTTTATTCTTGCATTTATTTACAATTACATCAGAGATTAAAGATTCATCTTTTCAAAGTGATAATTCAGTTGTATCCATTTCTTTTCATAAAATGATGTAAGCATACAGCATCAAGACATTAGACCTGTATATTTTTGGGGTTGTTCATTCTTTCCCACTATTTTCTCTCTGAGCATTTACCACCACCTACTGATGAGCTATTGCAATGACATAGAAGGGTCTATCATTCATTATTTGCAGTGTAAAGTATATGAAATCTAATATGATGAATGAAAATAAATACATAAACTAAATAAATAAAATATTTAGTATTTATTATAAGTCATGCAAGTGTTCTATCTTTTTTTTTTATATCTCGATTAAAATAATTTATTGATTTTATATAATTGATTATATATAGTCACTGGAATTGTTTTATTTCTTTTTTACTTCAGAAAGATAAAGTAACCATTCAACAATCAGACAATATTAGAATTAGATAAGCAATTGTTTCTTTATCAATAATAATTTTCTATACATTATTATTAATATTATAATTTGTTGTTAAATTTTGGCTAAATGATTTTACATTTAATTACATTTAGATACATCACATATGTGTGTTTTATGCATTATTCATTTTTAGTTTCCATTTAACGGTACGATCTCTACGGTTTTTGAGACACTGTCCTATTATAAGTATATCCTCCTGTCCTCCATTTTTAAGCCATTTACGGTATCAAAAGAGAGTCTCTTAAAAGTAATACGTGACTCATAAACGCTTTTGTGTTACTAAAAACAACATTCAAGCCATTCAAAACACCAATATGTAACATTCACACGGATGAACAGCTCAGGCAAACTGGCTCGAAAAGTTCCGTGGTCCCATAATAAGTTTAAATCGCGTAGGCCAACTCAAGGGAGGTCCTGCATCAGCCGAGCAACTACAATTGAGGTAAATGTGAATGATAAGTTATCTTTCAATCCATCATTATGCTAGCGTACACTTAAACCAATTTTAGTACATATACTTTTGACGACTGAACTACAGATTTTTTGTCCAATCAGAAGCTCTATAGAATGTCAATGTCCCTCCCTCAAACATCACCTGCAATCTACTTCTGTAAAGTGGTGGTTAAAAAAATGTGTGTGAAAATGTCCTACATTTGAGTTTGTAGCAAATGAGTATGTAATTTTTTAGGACATACTACCAAAAAGCAGACTTCGTTTTTACGTGCTGTCACCGTAATGCGACTCATCAATCATCCTGTCACATTTCACATCTTGGCGTAAATATTACTCATTTAATTTTCACAATCCTTCATTCATTAAAACTGCATGATCATTTAATTTAATTTAATTTACGATACTCCCACCATACACTTGCATGACTGTACTTTATGCCTCATATTTTCTTATATTTCGCAGCAGCTGGTGGTTCACTGTAATGAGCCTATCATTGTGTTCATCTGATCTTACAAAGATTTTTTTAACAGCATTCAACCCTTAAACTTGTGAGATGTTTAAGATGACAGCCCTGGTCCCGCATGCAACAGGTCGTAAGTAGCCTAAACTGTCCCAACAAGCACAGATCCACCCGGGAAATAATAATGTAAAATTAGTAAATACACCATCCATTCATCTGTGCAACAGTCATTCCAACATATTACAATTTCTAATTTTAATGTCAGGTAGGCCTAGCTTACCATTTAAGATAGGAAGTGATTGTGATGCAGGGATTCATGGTTGTGATGCCTACAATGCCTGTTGGGTACTTTTTCCCCTTTCAATTTGCTTCATTCAATAGGCCTATGTCCCACGAAAAAAATAAATAAATAAAAAACAGGAAAGAAAACTGTATTGGTAAATCATCCACTATAAAATAATAAAAAGTTAGTGATTGGTTACTTTACTTGGATTGCTTTGGATAGAGGAAACTATTAGACATGAAGTGCAAAGTGTTTCAAATAATTCTAAACTAGTTAAATGTACTGCAATTGATTGTTATTAAATACCATGAATAAAATGACCATACCATCACTGAAAAAATTAAAAGAATTTAAATGTGCCCTGCCTGGCATGCTTACATTTTAGAACAATTTAAACAGCAAGTTTTAATACATACAATTTAACCTGCATGAAAGTTTACTTGGTCATGTATAAAACATTTAAAATGTTATTTTTAACTCCCCAAAGACTTAAAAGAAAACACAAAGGAATGTATTATCACAGAGAATTTAATTGAACAAATGTAATGAACATAAGGAGTGGCTTCAGGTCAATCATTACCAATAGCCTTTAGACACATTCATTAAATGCTGGTTACGCTTTTACCATACAAAGACTTTCTTTTGAAGACATTTTTTCCTTTAAACATAATTTTAAAGCTATATGGCTCATGACTTCTCTATTTAGAAAAAAGTAGTTAAAAACGTACCTGTATATACACAAATACATATTTACAGTCTTGTTTTATTCTTATCAGTGAAGTTTTCCATATTTTTCTTTAAAATAGAAGTACAGGGAGAGTGTATGTTGTGCTGACAAAATTATCATCACATAAGATGTACACCTGAAGATGTTAACATCAAGGACTTGTAAGTAAAAAGCATAAAATATTCGGCAAGAAAAGAGTACAAAAGAGACCTTCAAGCGCAACGTTCAAACCCATGCAAATTTAGAAAGAAAGAAAAAAAGTCAACAGTCAAGATGAATGACCTTCATGATGGGTTTTCAAATTCTGTAGACTTTGCCCTTGAGCTGTCAGATCTTTCTTTTTTGTCATCTTTCTTTTCCTTGCTCCTGCTTCTGTCCCGTCTGTCTCTGTCTTTCTCCTTACCTCTGTCTTTGTCACGTTCTCTGACACGATCTCTTCTGTCACGATCTTTTCCACGTTCTCGTTCACGACTCCTTGAGCGTTCCTTTCTCCTGTCCCTGCTGTCTCGATCTCTGTCACGGTCTCTTTCTCTGTCTTTGTTCTTTGCTCTGTCTCGGTCATGGTCTTTTCGGTCTTGATCTCTCTCCCTGCCGCGGTCCCTGTCTCGATCCCGGTCTCTCCTCTTGTCTCCATCTCCATCTCTGTATCGGTCAGATTCTCTGCCTTTACTGCGATCCCTCTCTCTACTGTGTTCTCTCTCCCTTTCCTTGGTGTGGCCCCGCTCCCTATCTCTTTCCCTGCTTCGATCTCTTTCACGATCCCTTTCTCTGCCCCGGTCATACTCGTGCTCCCTGTTCCAGCCCCATGATCGTCCACCATGACCACCTTCTCGATCTCGGTCTCTTCTTCTATCTTCAGACAAATCCCGCTGTCTCTCTTCAGACAACCTTGAGGAGGCATCTCTGTCACGTGAACCACCATCAAATCTACTTGGACGGTTATGTGGCTCTGAACTATCTCTGGAGGAACAGCTTCGCCTCCTCATTTCAGGGGAGTGCCGTCTCCAGTGGTCATCACGGTGGGTGTCTGGGCTGTGTCCACCTATACGGCCCTGTATTGGGATGGGACCTTCAGGAGGTGTTGGAAGCAGAGGTCCACGAACAGGTCTAACATCTCGAACATCACCTGGGGTGTCATCATTGTAGTTAAATCGTGCTGGCTGACCAACAGGTTCCTTATCATAATGTCCTGGTGGTGGACCTCTCGGGCCACCAAACTGCTGCACTGATGGTCCCCGGTGCCTTTCAAAGTCTTGAGATGAAGTTCCCCGTGGTTCCTCAAATGATCCCCTGTGTTGAGGTGAACCACGGAATTGGTTTGGAGGTGGAAATCGCTGTCCCGACATTTCACCTGAAGGTCCAGGGGGTCCCCTTCGTCCATCAAAGTGGTTTGGCAGTGGTCCCCTAAAAGAAGGCCCTTGTGAAGGTATCTGGGGCTTCTCTAATCCCTGATGATAAGAGTTTCCACCATCTTCAAATTGATCACCAGGCCCTCTTGACATATTAGATGGAGGGCCATGATCCCCAATGTTATGAAGTGGAGGTGGACCTCTTGGACCAGGGAAGTGGGATGGTGGTGGTGCTCTATTATCAAAGTGATTTAGAGGGGGACCAGGAAATGGTAGAGGTGGACCTCTGGGTGCAGAGAAGTTAAAAGGTGGTGGAGGCCCATTAAACCTTTGTCCATCAAAGCTGGGAGGTGGCCCGGGTGGTAGAGGCCCTGCAGGTGGGCCTCTTGGTCCGATATGCTGAGGGGGCATTGAATTCATGGAATTGTCAAATATCTGAGGAGGGGGACCTCTCTGACCCATTGGCTGGAATAGAGGTAGTCCTCTTGGTGTAAAATTAGGAGGTGGTGGACCTCTTGGAGCTGCATCAAACTGAGAACTGCTACCCCCCCACTGATTCTGGAAAGGCGGATATGATCCAGGTGGTGGATACTGAGAATGATCACTATCCCCAAGGGGAGGAGGTGGACCTTGAATTGGGGGAATCTGTATTGGCGGTGGACCTGACATTGGAGGAGGGAGATGCATAGGTGGTGGAACAGTCATTGGTGGTGGGCTTTGGATGGGAGGTGGACCAAGAATAGGTGGAGGCCCAATAGGAGGAGGAAAAGACATTGGAGGTGGAATGTTAGCAGGGTTTGTTGTTGGTATGTGCTGTATATGGGAACTGTGAGAATCCATATAAGATGAGTTGTCTTGGATGACATCTTGTGGCACTCCTAAGTGTAAAGAAGTAGATGAAGTACTGATTGTTGAAATGTTATAATATGTGGTTGCAGTGGTCTCAATAGGCTTCCCAATGGATGAAACCTGATCAGCTTTTAAAACAGCCTGTCCAATGGATGAAACTTTATCAGCTTTTAAAATACTGGCAGAATTAGGCCAAACCTCCTCAAAACTTTTGATCTCAGATTCAATGGGTTCATCCTTTGTTTTGAGTTCCTCTTCAAGCTCTTTTTCCATGTAGCTTTCAACTAACTCTGGGTCAATCTTTTCCCCTAGTAATGGAATTGAAACCTCTGTGCTCTTTGTATCAAGAAAAGGCACCTCTTCAGTCTTGCTTCCTTCTTCACTCCCACCCCCTTCTTCAGACTTGGATGTTTCTGGCTTCTGGATGGCAGGCTGCACTGAATCTAAGGTGGCAGTGACTTGCAATAGGGGTAAATCTGTGGTTGCAGAAGGTTCCTCTACTGATGTATCCTCGGTAGTGTCCAACTGTGCAGTTTGTGTGTCTGAAACTGTGCATGCTTGTGTTAGTGATGTCTCTGTCGCTGTACCTTGTTGAGGAGATAGTTTGTCTGTAGTAAGAGGAGATTCTTCCTCTGCTTCTGTGGAATCAGACGTCTGTCTTCTACATGCAGATGCCTGTCTAGGGTCTCTACTCTGCCTTGGGTCTCTTCTCTGGTTAATAATTGGAGCAGCTGAACTCTTCACCACCAACTCTTCAACCTTTTTACCAAGCTGCAGCAGTTGACTGTTAGCCAACAGAGATGTAACGGGCTGTGAAATCAAAGTCTCTGGTATTTGTTGAATTGGGTCCTCGTGCTTCTGTTCCTCTGTCTGTTTTTCTTCAAGCACCTTTTGATGCTCAGTTAATTTCTTAGCACTTGGATCAACATCATCAAAAAGAGAGTCATCCTCAGGGTCATAAGCTACATCATCCACCACAGAGTTGACCTCTGCTTGCTTTACTGCAGCAGTTACTTTTGTTGTATCATGAGTATTTTCTGTATTATAGCCAACAGCTGGGTTATATTCTTCCTCAGGATCATATGGTCTATCATCCTGTACTTCTACCTCTCTACCCTTGGTTATTGCAAACTGCTTTACAATTGGATCTAACAGGGACACAGAAGGCACAGAGACGTCGACAGCACTTTGATCTGAAGGTGATAACGAGACATCAGAATCTTGCTTCTTGCCAAAAAGTGTTTTCAGGATAGTCTGAAGTGGTGTGGAAGAAGCCGTAGATGCTGCTGAGATATTGGAGGATGGAGAATTACTGCCTGTGCTAGTGCTGACACCAGGTGCTTTCACAGAGGACAGTATTGAAAACACAGTTGAGACAGAACTTGAAGACTCGGAGGCACTGAGGGGTGGAGGGGTGCCTGGGGAAGTTGTGCTTATGGCATCCAGACTAGATCGAAGAACTTTGTCCTGTTTTATTTCAGATTTACTAGTAGTGGATGGTTTTGGAAGGCCTGTCTCATCATCTCTTAGAGTTTTAGATCGTTTTTCCTCATTCTCTAGAGGAGCTCCAGGACGCTTTTTGTCCTTCTGGCAAATTAACAACCCCAGAAGGAGATTGGGACGAGCTGGTTCTAGCCCTGTAAAACAAATATGAAACATTATTTCACAAGTAAGTCCTCTATTGATCCATTATTATCATCCACAGATCCACATAACATAACACCTACGTACTATAACAAATTTCAGGTAGATGTTAATAGGCAAGAAATACAGATTAGAAGAGCTTGTTCCACATAATACAAAAATACAACAAACTGGTTAATAAGAACTTAACTACACACTTTTTTTATGTACCCACCAAATTACCCTCATGATGTACACATTTATTGGCAAATTAGATCATCACAAAGGGCTTGTTAATTTAAGCATAAATGGTCCCTTATACTTGGATTCATGATATATTTTATTAGAAAGTCTTACAATACATGACAACTTGAAAACAAAAACAAGACAAGCCAAAAAGTAGTACACAAACAACTTTGTCCTGAACAAACTTGTACTGTATTGTAGCACATTTGAAATGGCCTTGGTTTGTTTTCCTTTTTGTAAATTGTGGAACAAGCTTTCCATTCCCAGAATAAAGAGTTACATACAAACATGACTTCAATCATGCTTACCTGATGTTAACATCAAAAATTGCTTTCCATTAAACGTTTGGGGGAAAAACTAAGATGATTCTTTAAAGAAATTGTATAATATCCTTGTATATGCTTACCTGGTCCATCAAATGGCAGAAGTTTCGCAGGAAGCGGGTCTTTTGAGCTCAGAGGGATGAGGTAAAGGTCTTTAATGCGCTTGTTGCTGTTTGCCACAACTCCAAACCGCTTACGGCTACTGAAATAAGAAAACAGAGACACATATGCCACCTCCTCCTCTTCAGTTGCTGGATGGAAACGAATGAGGCTGAGTTCCTGAAAAAAGAACACTCAGCATCAGAAAACAGCACTCAGATGAATGAAGTAGTTTAAATGAACTTTGTGTTTTAAATTTAATTCTAGTGAATATGAAGTATGTTTTTCTTTCCATACTTTTGAAAGTGAAGTCTTCAACTTTCCCACATAATCCCATACAGTGTGTGGTGATATTCTACCACCAATATGAATAGTGTCAGGCAAGTCCTGCAAAAAAAAAAAACTGTTGTTAAAATGAAACAGTAACATGAACCCTACAGTATAATATTAAGACCTTTTAAGTAAATACTTTGAAAACAAACCTCCTTAATATGCTCAAATGATCCTGACACCAAGTAGGCTTTTGTGACAAACTTGGCAACAGAGTGCATGTTTATGAATCCTTTCCACATCATCTCTTGTCCAGATAAGAACAAAGCGGTTTCACCCTCAGGAGGGGGCTCTGACACACTGATAAAAAAAAAAATTACAAATATTACCACATATTAAACTGGCAGCAAAGCAGAAAGACAGACATTTAATATTTAAAAAATGGTATATATATTCCTGCACCTGGCAGTACCGGACCCATAAGAAGCTGGTTTCGGGATCACAGGTCTGGGTATAGATGCTGGGGCAGGAGGGGGCATAGGCAAAGGTCCCTTTGCTTCTACAACCACAGGTTCAACAGAGATAGGAATATTTGCTGGCACAACAGGGACAACAGCATCAGGAACTATCTGAGGCACAGATGAGCGGTGACCAGCAGTACGAGGATCCCTCCGAGTTATTGTAACGGAAGAGACTGCAGGTACAACAGCAGGGACTGGGGCCTGAACCACAGGAAATACACTGCTTGGATCTTCCACCACAGATGTAGAATCAGACATGGGCGCCTCAAGACCAGAAAGAGAGGAAACCTGAGGGAGATCAGCGGGGAATTTGGATGGTCTTGGCTCTGATTTAGGCTTAAAATATTGCTCTGGCTTTTTAGGCACAGACATTTTGGTTTTTTTAGATGGTGGCTCATCATCTGCCAACTTCTGGCCTGAAAAATAAGCAACATGTTATTTAAATGTTAGCTATTAAAAAGATCATCGGTATATATACAACCAGTAAGAGCCACTTTTCAGTAGGTCTTAAGGGTATGTGGCTTTTTATCGTGGTAATATAGTCCCACCTGTACAGATCTTGCAGTTCAGGTCAAAGAGATGAGCCCTGTGCTCTGCTGTAGTGTCTTTTAGCATACTACTGAAGATATCTGGCATTGAACTGCCTTTCCCAGTAGAGACTGAGGCTTGTGGTACAGAAGTAGGCCACGTGTCCTCATGGGAGTCCTGCTCAAAAAGGACAAACGTAAAAGGAAAGGATCAATAAGCAATCTTTTAATAATTTTAGAATGCTATTCTCATCCATTTAGTCATACATGTTTATATGCACCCATGTAAAAGAAAGGGAAAATTCAGATAAGGAAGGTGGCAGGTATAAACACAAATAGTGCATTCAGCAAAGTTGCTTTAGAAACTGAAATGAGAGTAGTACAGATACAAAGGTGTGTGCAAGATTAGACAGATGCAGAAAGCAAGAAAGCCAGCACTTACAGCAGCAGAACCCAAGTGGGAAGATTGGGAAGTGGCAGGCATACATACATCTCCATCAGACATAGGAGGAGGAGCTTCCTCCATGTCCACATGTGTGGGAGCACCCTCCTGTCTGGATCCACTTTTGGGCTGTCCTGACTGGGATCTCCCACTCACATCCAGACTCTTTAGGAATAAGTACATCATTTAGGCACACAGCATAGTTATATAGTTTACACAAACAAATTCCAACTTGTTTTACCTCAGAGATCTCTTTTCTCCAGTCTGACATCTCCTTGGAAAGAAGTTCTTCTGGACTCAATCTCACCAGCCTGAAAGGACTGATCTCGCCACCAACCACACGATAGAAAAGGCCCTGCCACACAGATAAGTAAAATAATGCAACTCTCTCCAAAACTACTAAAAGGTCTATGTAAATTTCAGTATAAACCATAAATATACAAATAAAGTGACTAACCTTGTTTTTAGGGTCCTTTAGATTGAACATAAGGGACCTGTACTTGTTCTTGTATTTGTTATCAGTGTTCATATAAAGGTTAAACATCTCCTTCTCAATGCTGACCGCCAACTTTCCCACTTCGCTCTCAGACATGGAAAGATCATCACTGTCACTGACCCTGTGGCACAAAGGTGAATTTAAAATCATATTTTTACAATTCGATTAAAAACAATTTTACATTTCAGTTGCATTTGTCAGAAGAACAAATGCAAAATATATTTAAAAAAGCGATTCAATATTTCAAAAACAGAACCAAAAAATCAGTTAATCTGAATGTGTTTATTTTAACCATAAAGTTTGATATTAACAAATACTTTACTGGTTCATGAAAAAAATTTAAATGCAAATGCTATAAAAAAAGTATTAAAAAAGTAAATGTTATACCTCTGAAACATCTCTAACCTTTTATATAGGATATCAGTCAGTGATCGTCTGATGTTGGATCTCATCTGGTTGTTGGGGGGTGGCTGTGGAGAAGCAGCAGGTGCAGTGGGTTGGGTTGGTCTAGGTGCTGAGTGCTGGGTGGATGACACTGGTGATGGTGGGGTTCTAGAGTTTGGAGACGGACCAGGCTCTGCAGAGTCCTTTTGCCCCGCCTGTGGCTGCTTTTTTGGAATAGTAAAGGTGCTCTTGCCCACACGGAGAGCTCCAGACACATGGTGGCGAGATCCCGGGGGGCCTAAAGGTGATAAAACCGGAATTGGTGGTATGGGAGGTCCTGGCTTTTTTGGCTTGGCTTGTATGGGTATAGGCTGTTTTCTTAACTCTCTTCCGCTGCTCAAAGGTGCTGCACTTGTTTTGCCTTTGGGAAGAGGCGAGGTGGTGGCAGCAGCTGCCTTTGTCCCCTTGGAGCCAGGAGACTTCTTCCCACTTTTGGGAGCAACATTTGAAGCAGGTGGTTTCTTGTCAGCGGACACCGTTTCCTTCTCTGGCTTGACTTCTTCATTGTCCTCCTTTTCTTTATCTTTTTGGGCAGCTGCTGGGAAACAGATGGTATAAATTGATTCATGCACACAGAAATGAAATGGCAAACCTAAAGAAAAATTTTTTACAAATCACAATTTCAAAGCTTTGTTTTGGTCAGTCCACAAAAAAGAAAAATATATAGTATGCTCAATCGTAGTGCCTTGCCTTGACTCTGTAATAGCTTTCTCAAGTTACTTAACATGATGACCACCAGTACCAGTAAAGAATTGCTTCAAACAAAGAAAACTTGCAAGTTTTATTTTTTTAAATCTTGTAATTATATTCAAGTCAGTATTTAAGAGTAGTTGACTCACAGACCAGTCAGCTGTATTTGTGTGTGTGTATATATATATATATAAATTCTATTCTTTAAGCAATTTATTAGTCATAATCACTGTGAGAAGTGACTTGTTGTAAATATTGAATCAACTAACTGGAGCACAGAGCAGCTATTAGTAAAATATTAAAATAATTATGTATACAAGCGGAACTTGAAGGGTTCATAGCAAAAACCCTTCAGTTATTAAATGAAGACTTGATCTTGGAGCCAAATTTAGATTCACTGCCTTGTTTTCATTATTTTGTCAGGATATACACCTCTAACTCAATTAAAGCCCTTTGGGGAAAAGTCAAATTTTTTTATACCAATTAAAATGCCAGTAGTACATTACAGTACAACACAGCACATTAAGTACATAAAGCATACATATCCTGATGTAATAATTCATGGAAATATTACACAAGGGCTTTATAAATGATTATCTTACCAGCTACAGGGAGGGGGAAAACATATCAATGTTCAAAAGGAAGAATACAGATATATTTAAGAATATAATATCTGTACAACAATGAAACGTCACTTTCTATTGTAGAAATACATCCTAAAAAAGCACTTTCAAGAGCAGGTATAGAGTGTACCACAGAGCATCAATGTAATCCCATTCATGTGTTACCCATATAAGACAAATTTCTCCATATCTTGATCAACACAACACAAACAACCCTAAGCAACCTCATGTACACTAATGCCACATTTAAGACTAAAAACCATGAAAAATGCTGCTGGGACCAAAACAAAAATGATTGGCATTAATTTTGATTTTCTATTTCTTAATTTTCTAGTATCAAACAAACGCCCCACATTAAGCTTAAGGTATCCTTTTTCTTTTGTCATTTTTGCATATGATAAACTAAAAACTTTCCCTCTGCAACAGTCAACCATTCCTACTAAGGCTGAAAACTCGTGCTCCAAAATCTCTGCATTAAATCAGCTGCACTCAGCTTTCAACAGGAACACTACGCTCTCAATATGTAATTTGTTCATATGTAAATATTAAATAAAACAAGCATTATCAGCTTTGGTCTACATTCTGTGTATATGTATAAATACAGCATGACATTTCCCTGTGTGCTGCAGTTATGAGGTGTGTGAATTCTGTTGTTGTCTGCTGTGGGGTGATATGGTGTCCTCAGCTGTTCTTCATTCGATCCCTCATTACTTCTGCTCACTCTCTGGGCTCTTGGGACTTTCTGACATGCCACAGTTCTTCTCTCAGGCCGCCTCCAACGACTGTAGGCTTCTTTTCGCAAATCATGCTGAGACATTTAGCGGATGGCTGACAAAAACCAAAAACAGGCAAGGGCCGTGCCATCTCATGTTGTCATCCAATAAACAGACTTCTCTCACAATTGAAGCACAGGGCCAGAAGAGTATTATCCGCAATTTCACTTTATTTTGAATGTCACTTTGTCCAATGAGGATTTATAAATGCAGTGCATGCAAGTCAAAGGACTATCAAATTAAAAGCTGTTAGTTAATTAGTTAAAAGTGACATGTTTTCAATAATGTGTAACAGCAACGTAGTCAAACGTCCACATGATCAAAGATGTTCTATTCTTAGTCGGGGAAGGAGGGCAGGAGAAAAAGACACCAAACCTACCTGTTCTGGTGTGAGGTCAGTACATCTTTTCGGATGAAGTTTTTGCCCCGGTGATGGCAGGGATTGGAGATAAGTGGCAATGGCATTCCATACATTGAGAGACTCAAAATCACACGCATACATACTTTGTTGGTCAGAAAGCTTTACAAAAGCATATCATGGCAAGGCACTACAGTTTGGGCTCAGATCCATAGGATCAACATTTTTTATATCACTTATTTGGTGCAAAACTAAATTTACTTGGATTAAAGTTATAGACTGTAAAATAGTCTTTATGCATTTTAGATCTTAAATACTTACCCCTTTGCTTTTTTTTATTTTTATAAACTTACCTGCTCTGGAGCTGAATAGCCTGATACAGATACTTTCCAAATATTATCACCTTGCAGTGTTGCATAAAAACACTGACAAAATATTTTAAGATGTAGCACTGGGTGTCCAACTTAGAAAATTCATAATTATAGCTGTGCTAACATTTTCCAGCACTAATATCTCTTTAAAGGCACAGAATTTAAAAAAACTTCAATCCAATTTTCACCAGAAAAGAGCTGCTTTTTTAAAATCGGTGAATCTTCTAGACTGCAACAATTTCAATCTGCTGTTCTTGACAGTTCATCATTGGTAGAGACAGGTCAATAAAATGTGGAAAACCCTCAGAGAGATACATACACGTTTTGTTTAAAACAGATGCTGATATGGGTGAAGTCTTTTCAGGCGTTACTGCAATGTAATTATGGTCACTGGACCAGGAAGACATGGCTGGTGGCGGTGGATGCTCCTCTGTATGCTTGTCTTCATCATTGTCATCATCTTCCTCAGTCCCAGACTCTGACTCCTCCTCATCCCCTTGGTTAGATGACCTCCTTTGTGTGCCAGACCTCCTCTATAATCAAGAACAGAAAGCACTGTTAGCATATATAGATTTAGATGTCCTAGCATTATAGAGAAAGAGCTGATACAATACCTGTCTTCCTGATAGCGAGTACCTGAATTAGCAACTACTGAACAACTTTTGCCATTACACCTAAACACCAATTTAAGCATATCCTCACAAAACAGTAATTTAGCCATATATACACACACACACAAAATTAATTCTACATTTTTATATAAATATACAGCAAACAATTTACTGCCATTAAACCCATAATAAAATAAATGATTATCATTGGGTGCCTATGAATAGTACCTTATTTGGTGTTTTATTTGTGGTCTTTTTCTGTGCTTTGGGCCTGCCCCTCTCTTTCTGTTTGGAGTCTTTTCCATCTGTAGTGATGGTCTTCATGGCGGCAGCGGCGTGTTTGAGTATGCAGTCGTTCCCACAGTAGACAGAGTCAGGGAACGCATCTCTCTCGCAGCCAGGGCCGATGCACTTTGGGAGGGAAGATCCCTCAACTGCAGATACCTGCTGAAACTCAGGGATGTCAAACCACTGTGGCCACAAGATTACAGCAACATATCTACACCTTATGTACTGTATATTGCTTCCTTTTTTTAAAACAGCAAGTAAAACAGTAACATTTATGCACTATCAATTTTTAAAACCGTAATATGCATGTTGTCACATGACATCATCAAATGTCAAGTTGAAAATGTTTATTAAATATTTTTAATCCAACTTAAAAAAAAAGTGTTTTAATTTTGTGGTTTGATCAAATAAGTCTTAAGAAGTTTGTGGCTAATATTACTTCCAAGGTCATCCATGGCACTAATAAGTGTCATGGCATTGCATTGTGGAATACAGTATTCAAAAGCAGAAAGCTCTGTTCTATACTGCACATTTCAGTCACTCTAGTAGCTTATCTGGGTATTCTGCAAAGACAGAAATTTCACAAGTCCACAGTATACATAATATATACTGCAGCATTAGAAAGAGTAGCATGCTAGTATGCTAATTCAAATAGTCAGACTCTGACTTCACAAGGTTGTCATCTGCTGAAAAATCAATGACTGTAAATAGTGATTTTTGGGGGGAATTTTGCTAAGGACAACTGCAGTACCCCAAAAATTTAACAATTCAATCAAAAAAAAAAAAAGGTGAAATTAAGTGATTCTTGTAAAGAGATACGCCCAAAAATAGCTAATATTATGACAAGATAATTTAGAAATCAGACTTTTCGTAGCATTTACTCTTAGTCTCATATATATATATATA